AAAGAACAGGAGGAGACAATTTCATTTTTAAGCAGCTTGGAAGGTTCGCCGGTATCATACAAACAACTTGGCCTTTTCCTGCGAAAATTGGGGGATTTTCTCTAAACTAAGGACGCTAGCCTAGTTTCCTCTCCGGCGCTGTTACTGTCTTCTTGATTAGGGATCTTTCAAGACTCCGTTTCTTTGCTCACCAGATGGCTTTTTGCACCGTAGCTTTGTGTGGGGTAAGCAGATTAATTTTGTTAGCAGCTTGAGAAAAATATAATAAAGTGATACTTAAGAAAAATATTCGCGAAATACCCTGCCGATTCGACGTCAGGTGACTTGACACGGTTCCTTCCACCACAGGATATATATATCTCCCACATTCAAAGGCTGATAAATCGCGTTGCTTACCCATATCTTCAGAAAAAAATCACTTCTACTGTGGTGGTAAACAACCTGCTTCCCTGTTTATAATGATCTGGCCCTCTAGCAACTTCAGTGCGAAATTATAGCTAATTTGCCTACAAACGTCAGGTGGTCATAATTATCTGGCCACTCGGTGTATATCCAGAGCCGTTGATGTCTCTGAGACCCAGTAGAATGATCAGTACCGGGCTTTAAAAATAAGAAAGCATTGTGTTTAGATTGTTTTCCTGGAAACACGTGTGCACAGCGTGTGAGTTCCTTGGGGCCAGCTGATGATTAGGGCAGGCACTGGGCCATGAGTTCTGTGCGCCAGCCTCACTACGCAGGAGGCAGTGAAACTGTCCTCATGTAGCAGATGAGAAAACGGAGGCCAGGAGTTCAGTGCCTACTACTAACACGTTAGGCCATGAAAGCGCAGAGGCAAAATTCCACCCAGATTCTCAGCTCCAGAGCTGGAGCTCTCCTCTAACCACTGGTTTTTGAGAAACTGGAGAAAGCGCTCCCCAGCAAGATTTACACACACGCACACGAACGATTCAGCATACATTTTTAAAGTTCCACAGGATTCACCACGCCAAGGGATATCCAACTTAAGAACTCCAGCACTTTTCAAAGAAAAAAGGCAAACCTAATTTGAAACCAATATTGAAATAAACATTGAACCTGACCTTTTAAGTGCATCAGAAGTATCAGGAAAAAAATCAAAGAAACTTGCCCTTTTATGCCAAAGTAAAAATAGGGAATTTCCTTATGTAGGCCTAATATGTTTGAGTAATTTGTTTTTTGCTTACCATTTTTAACTCGTTAATTTTCCTTCATGATACTGTTTTATTTAGTTCACATTTAAAGAAAAGTGATTTAATTGTACCTCTTAGAATGGCTTCATGTGAATAAAAATCTAATTGACATGTAAAATATTTGCCTTTTACTTTAATGCCTTTAACAAGGTCATCAGATTTTTTTTTTAAAGATAAAATGGAAGGAATCCATAAAAAGGCATATCAAGGCCTTAAAAAGTCCTAAGTATGGCATTTGAATTTTTTAAAAACTTAAGGCTAGTAAAAAGTGGCAGTTTGCCAGTATTAGAACCAATATTTATGGGCAGCAAAACTTCTAAGCTGTTTTAGCCTATGTGGGGGGAAAAAAAGAACATCAAGTTCCTATGCCATTCTTAATCAGACACATATGGGCTATGTGGAAGGAGACTACAAAGCAGTAATTGATAATTATAACCATTTTCAGTTTCCTTCTATTTAGCAAGTGGTTCTCTGTTCCTAGTAAGAGACTCAGGTTTGAAAAGGTTTATTCCCTTTCTCCATAATAAAAGTTTTAGGACTTGGATTTTGTGATATAATCACATTCCAATGGATTCTAATGAGATCTTTTGATTTATAAGCTACTAGAGGCCCGGTGCACAAAATTTGCAAGGCCTTTAGAGGTTTAAAGCACTAACTTGTTAACTATTTTCTATTTATACATTAAACCAGCGGTTTTCAACCTTTTTCATTTCATGGCACACACTAATTACTAAAATTCTGTGGCACACCAAAATACGTATATATTTTTGCCAATCTGATAAAAAAAATAGGTATAATTTTGATTCACCCACACCGGACAGCTATTGTGTTGACTGTTGTCATTTTATTTGACAACCTAAAGGAAAAGAGGGACTTTGTAGCAATTTGAGAGTTTTGAACATCACTTTCTGCTTGAACTCTTTGGAGATGGAATTCAGGAGGAACTTCAGGCTGTGACTGACTTCCAATAACCCACCCTGGACCCCGGAGTCTTCTCAGATTCCCCGTGAAGTAGAGTCAGCTGGCACTCAAGTACTAGCAAAGGACTTAGTAACTTGACTCTCAGCCCTACTACAAAATTCCCTTCCCTTCCACCAAAACATTCACCCCAACAGCAGGACAGAGAAAAAAACTTAAAGGGGTTGGACTGGGGCTGAATCAGGGCATGCTGTATAGGAGACGACATGGAGTGGGGAACTGTTCTGAAAGAAAGGATGTTACAAGTTATTAGATCTTTGCTTAAAAAAGACCTACAGGAGAGGAAACTTGAGATTGAATCAAGATTCAGAAGATTTACATGTAGCTGTCATTATTGCCTATATCATGGAGATCCTTCTGATAATATTATCAGATCCTTCTGATAATATAATATCATGGAGAATTATAACATGGAGTCGATTTGGACATAAACCTTGTTCTTGTACTTTTTTTTTTCTTGCTAGTAATTTTAAGTCATTATACAGCAGCTTAGGCAAACTACTCTGCTAGGATAGACTGTATACTAATATTTAGATCACCTATGATAGAAGTTCTGTGATGGTCTTTCTCTTGTATCTTTTTCTTGTCTACCTTGATACCAGGAATCAATTTAGATTGCATTTAAATGACTTCAATATACTTCAGTTCCTTTTTTATTTGACCCAAAGAAGCACTAATAGGTCTGAGTGTTGTCATTGTGTTTTAGAAGCCTGAAGTCAGTAAGATGAAACCCAACATCAAGAATGAGAAGCAAGTAACTTGTATGGAAAAAATGTAAAACAGAATACATTGAATGGTTTGGCTACAACATGATTAGTGCAGGGTGCATTAACTAGATTCTCTGATTTTCAAAAACTTGAGTTGTAACAAGTTTTTTGATGAGCTATTTCAATTTTTAGTGGCAAATGTGTGTATAGGGCATCTTATGAAAATTTAGGACATATACGAAAAAATAAAATAAAGGTAAAGAGGTCAGTGTCCCTGACTAAATAGTCAGGTATTGCATGTTTTACAAACTCTTGCGGCACACAGTTTGAAAATCACTGTGTTAAACAGTTAATGACTTTTTCTCTCATTGATGAAAATATAACCCCAACTCATCCCCATCCATATAATGAAGCAGGAGTTGGGAGAGAAGTGAATCTGGGAACTAAAAGGAAAAGGAAAAAGAAACAGCAAGACTTGCACAGATCCCTGGTTTGGGGGGTCCGGGGACGGGAAAGGAATCTTGGATCTAACAATTGTCCCTTTGCTGGCCTTCAGGTGGCACTATTGGCCCAAGATTGCTTGGTTGGTTTCAGAATGATAAATGGTTTGAGATTGATAATTCTTAAGTTGGTTTTAGGCCAGCCTCTGCTCTTTCAATGGATCTTGACATACACATTAAATATTCCTTAATTTAAACACTGATTTTTGGTTTTGTTTTTCTTGCACTAGATATTTTGAAATGTACTTAACACCCTTCCTGTTTAGGAGGGTTTTTTGGTCTATTTTTTCCACCTTTTTTTCAAGACAGGTTTATGACATTTTTCTATTTGGAGATCAACTCCTTTTTATCCCAGCTGAACTATCCCCCAAGATGGTCTCTTAGCATAGATTCTCATCTCACTATGTACAAAAATGTCAAATTAGCATATTCTGCCAATAGGTACCTACATTTAACTGGAATGGAATAAGATAGTTATTTCACCAGAGCATTCTTGGTTTTTATGTATCACCTATATAATTTTTGATATTTTAGCTATGATTTCTGCATATTACAGATACCATTTATATACCTATTTGAACATTCTATCCCTCTTGCCTCGACCTGCACAGCTAGGTTCAGGATCTGAAGGAGGGGCCGATGCACAAATGAAAATGCTATACAAGAAATATGAATTTAGAAGGCATTGGGGCCCTAACTGGTTTGGCTCCGTGGATAGAGCATCCACTGAAATGTCCCCGGTTCGATTCTGGTCAAGGGCATGTACCTTGGTTGCGGGCACATCCCCAGTAGGAGGTGTGCAGAGGCAGCTGATCGCGATGTTTCTCTCTCATTGATGTTTCTGACTCTCTATCCCTTTCCCTTCCTCTCTGTAAAAAAATCAATAAAATATATTTAAAAAAAAAAAAAGGCGGCATTGGGGGGCCAGGTGGAACCTCTTTCATGAAGAGGCTCACTGAGTCCTGGCCTAGTCTGCTTCTTTTTTAAAAAATATATTTTTATTGATTTCAGAGAGGAAGGGAGAGGGAGAGACAGAAACATCAATGATGAGAATCACTAATTGGCTGCCTCCTGCACGCCCCCTACTGGGGATTGAGCCCGCAACCTGGGCATGTGCCCTTGACTGGTATCGAACCTGGGACCCTACAGTCTACAAGCCAATGGTCTATCCATGGAGCCAAACCGGCTAGGGCAGTCCGCTTCTTATTCAGTTTTAGATACACATCTCACCCGCAGTAAAGCACAGCAAACAAGCAGCAGACAGACGGTCTCAAAGGTCAGTAAAGATCAGTAGGGTCCAGTAAACATTTACTTGGAGGCTATCAGGTCAGGAGATTGCTTCGAGACACCACTATCTCAACATGAACAATCGGTGCCTAGCGTAAGCCCTGCTAACGCTCAAGGTCCATCAGCGTCCCGCGTTCCTTGGTGCATGCTCATGACAGTGTTGGCATGCGGTGGCTTCCCACACCTCTGAAGAACAAGTTACTGTTTTCAGCTAATAAGACTTAGCTAGTTTGCAATAAAGCAGAATATATAAGATGGAAGATAAGCAATATCACAATTCACAAGTGCCCTCTATTCGGGAATAAAATGAATCTTTTGAGCTCTTCACTTTATTTCTATAAGACCACTATCTTTGTTTTTCCCAAATGGCTCTCAGTCTCTAAGCAGAATTCAATCCAGCAACCTAGAGGCTAAATGACCTCATAACTCATTAGCAGTTCGCAGCCATCTGGAGCCCTTGAGGAGATCAGTGTTCAAAGGGCTGATAATAAAGACAACAGCATAATTATTTCTCTGCCATGATTAAACCTTTAGATGGCAAGCAGTCAGCATATTTATTCTGCAGACTGCTTAGGTGGGTGTTTTTGAAGGTATAATAATACTGTGGTAGGAAAACTTGTTTCTCTGCCCTCATCTAGCCTACAAAAAGGTAAACTGACCATCACTAAACAACTTATTGAATCACAAAATAGCTCATTGTAAAAAAGGGCATAGAGCAAGGGAGCGATAGTATATGAACACCAAATATAAAAATTGCAAATATAAAACATGCAAAGGAAATAGCCACTTGGACTGTGGATAGTTCTCAACTCCAAGGCATGTCCTGCCAACAACATGGACAGAATCACGTGTGACTTGCTGTGTTTTTGCTTTCTAAAGTGTTCATTCAGTAATCTGTGAATTTCTAACACTAACCCATTTGTCTTCTCATTTTCTTTAGGGACTCTTCCTCCCTCCTGCCCCAGAAATGTCTTCACTTTCAGAATATGCCTTGCGCATGACTCGCCTGAGTGCCCGGCTATTTGGTGAAGTTGCCAGGCCTACTGATTCCAAATCCATGAAAGTGGTGAAATTGTTTAGTGAGCAGCCTTTGGCCAAGAGGAAGGAGACATATGACTGGTATCCAAATCACAACACTTATTTTGCGCTCATGGGGATACTGCGTTTTTATGGCCTCTACAGGTAATGACAAAAAAAACAAAGCAACCTGTAAGAGATTATTGCAGTAGATCAGAAAAGGGGGGAAAAATAGCCTTTCCATCTTTATAGTTTTGTGGTTCTTATAATAGTGACCAGCTAGTCCAAAAGATAGTTTGGGGGGAGGGGGGAGGGGATGGAGGCTTTCAAAATATTCACGATGGGACCCTGGCCGGGTGCTCAGTGGTTAGAGCAGTCACGGGTTCAATTCTAAGTGAAGGGCAAGTACCTTGGTTGCTGGCTCAATCCACCCAATTGGCACATGTATGGGAGGCAACCAGTCGATGTATCTCTCTCACACACCCTCTTCCCCCCTCCCTCTCTTTCACTCTCTCTGAAAAATCAACGGAAAAAAATGTCCTAGGCAACCAGTCGATGTATCTCTTTCCCTCTCCCTCTCTTCCACTCTCTCTGAAAAATCAATGGAAAAAATATCCTCGGGTGAGGATTAACAAATATATATATCCATGATGGGCCTACCAAAAATAAAGGGAAACATGCACTTATTGGAAGACATAAATTAATTATGTCCATAATGTGACTTAACATTGACTAGATACTGAGCTATAGAGAGATGTTTAATTGGTCAAGAGCATTCTAAGCGGATGCGGAGGAAAACTGGTCCAAACATTGAGCAGGTTCCTGTTGCTCGATCTGCTTCCTAGCTGGTGTGGGGCAGCCTCATTTCTTCCCTGGTGGCAATTTTGTTGGAGTTCTTATTGCCTTCCACCCTTTTCTGGCATTTTTAGTTGGTACACTTTTTAATATGCTAACATGGTCTAAATGAGGTGTAGTTCACCTTTAATTGTAATATGTAAGCTATTAAAATAGAATAATAGTGTATAATAGTAAGAGTAGTAGGCTCTTTCCTGCATTTGTATGTTTGAGTATGTATAGGAAGTGGGAGCTCAGAACACTATACAACTCTCGAAATAAAATATATCAAATACCTGCCTAGGGCAACAAAACAAAATTTAATTTGGGACTGTTCACTCTAATGTAATAAAATTACTAGTTCATTCCAGATAGCTGCATTCATTTATCCAACAGATATTTTTTGAAGTACCTTCCACATGTGGGCACTTATGATGGGCACAAGGGAGCCACAATGAACAAATAGGACAGATTTTCTTAGTTAATATATTATTACAGATTATAATCCATGCATATTTGAACTTCTGGTATTGCTTTGGGGATAGTTTCCCTTGCCATTAGCCTGGGCTCAGAAAATAAAAATTAATTTTATTATGACCGAAAAGAAAATATCACTGGAAGGCAGATCTCCTGAATAGAAAATTATAACCCATAACAAAATCACATTCAGCTACTTTAATGTACCTATTTGCTGCCACTCTCCATTTGTTTGAAAAATAAAGCCTTGCCTATCTTTGGGGACAGGGAAAAAACACTTAGCATTTCGTTATCCATAGAAAAGCATAATTATTTTCATGTAAATGGTTCCTCGCCTGCTGTGGCAAAAGGCAGGATGAAACTAGACAATTGACAATAAATAAAATATTACTCCAAGACCTGCAAGGGGGAGGGAAGCAGATTCTCAAAAACAGTGACCCATTCAGTCTAGCAGGTACTTGGGCCATTTCATCAACAGAGACAAAGACCCCTGCCTTTGAAGCTTTCTTTCTGGCTGGGGGTGGATGGGAATGGGGAAGGGAAAGTAGAAGAGGCGGAAAAACAGTAAATAATTATGTGGTATGTTACAAAGTTGGACATCTATGGAAAGAAAAATAGTGGAGCAGGCTGGGCAGGATCAAGGGTGCTGAGAGGGCACTAGGTGAGTGGGGAGCAGGTAGATCACAGTCTTAAACAGGATAGTCAGGGTTAGCCTCATAGAGAAGATGAGGTTTACGCTGAGACTTGAAGGTGATGAGTGAGCCCAGTGGAACCTGGAGAAGAGCTTTCGAGACAGAGGCAAGGGCAGAGCAAAGCCCTGAGGCAGATGTGCACCTGGTGTGTTCCAGGAGCAGCACGGAACAAGGGGTGAGCGGTAGGACCACAGGCAGATCATGAAGGGCTCTGAGGGCTGTGGGAAGGACTCTGGCTTTTGCTCTGGGTGAGATGGGGAGCCTTTTGCAGGGCTGTGAAGAAAGGAGTGATAGGATGTGACTTAGATTTTAGAAGAATTATTCTGGCCACTGTTGAGAATAGATTATTTGGGGCAATCATAGCTAATCCCAAAGAGGTATGTTGTATCCATCATGTTCATGGACTGAAACAACATACCCTATAAAACCACTATTTCAAAACAGCCTAGGAAGTTAAAAATTGTCCAGCAAAACCCTCTGTGACATTTAATTCATATGCTATTATTATCCATACTTTACAGATGAAGAGAATAAGATTCAAAGAGGGAAGGTCACTTATCCAAAGTCACGCAGCTACTAAATGGCGGAGCTGTGATTTGAAACCAGGTTCAAATGGGTTCCCGAGCTTACATATTTAAACACCACTGTTCTCTAGGTATTTGATTGCAGAATACAGACATTTTTACACATCGTGGGCAGTCTTCATCTTACACCCATCTGCTTGTACATATAGTCCTGGTGGCCTTGAGTACCTGTCTTTTGATTTGGCTACCATCTGCCTGAGCCTTTTGGTGTGAACCGTCTACTGCCATTAAGTCAGCTTCCTCCACACTATTCCCCCTTGTAGTAGGTGCTAATTCCTGGGGTTCTCAGGGTCTCTGTGTAGCTATTGAAGTTTTTACCCACTTTCTGCTCCTCTCGTATTTTGTCTTGGTATAATAGGGAAACTTGGGTAATTATTAGTGTGGTATCATAGTTCCATAGGTTTACATGGCTGGCCCAAGAATTAACTGTCATTATTTCTCCGAAGGGGAACTGTAAGTTAGAAGTGAACTTTTGGAATACAATGAATCTGTATGCTGGGGACTCCCCATCCTTTCTGTTCACCAAGCTGAGCATGTGCTTTGTAGAAGTCATGGATTAATTACCACAACCACCTAAGGCCGTGGTCGGCAAACTCATCAGTCAACAGAGCCAAATATCAACAGTACAACGATTGAAATTTCTTTTGAGAGCCAAATTTTTTAAACTTAAACTATATAGGTAGGTACATTGTTATTAACTTAATTAGGGTACTCCTAAGGCTTAGGAAGAGCCACACTCAAGGGGCCAAAGAGCCGCATGTAGCTCGCGAGCCGCAGTTTGCCGACCACGGATAAGGGAACAGTGCTAGATTGGTGTACTTTTCCAGTCTGTAAAATCCTGGCTTGTTTTTTCTCTCTCCATTCAGAGACGAGCATCAGGACTTCAAGGAGGAGCAGAGACGTCTGAAGAAACTTCGTGGAAAGGGGAAACCAAGGAAAGGAGAAGGAAAAAGAGCAGCAAAAAAGAAATAGTGTTTGTCAGTGCAGAGAGAAACTTCCTCCTCTGCAACTGAGAGCAGAAGCAAGAGTTTATTCTCTTTCCCCATGTTGAATGAGGAACACATGCTCCGTGTTGAAGTCTGATCCAGTTAAAGTGTGACCGGTTTCTTGACCACATTCTAATTCTGCAAAGTTATTTTGGCCTTGGTTTTGTAATCTGAGGTTTACCACATTCCCTAAAGAAATGAATGCAGCCCAGCCAGTGTGGCTCAGAGGCTGAGCACTGACCCAGGAACCAAGAGGTCATCGATTGGATTCCTGGTTGTAGGCTCAATCCCCAGTGGAGGGCATGGAGGAGGCTATCGATCAATGATGTTGCTCTCTCACTCATCAGTGTTTCTCTCCCTCTCCCTTCCTCTCTCTAAAAATCAATAAAAACATTTTTAAATATATATATAAAAAAAGAAATGAATGCATAGATTATTGTTGAATGGCTTGTGTGGGGTGAGAGTGGGGTGTTGGGAAAGGGAGGGAAACATTAAGTAAGCACACTAGTCTCATTACTTTCTCTTGCTTCCCCATAAGCCCTGAAGTCTTTCATCTCTGGCTGTTCAGCCACTGTCTCCACCTCCAAGCTCAAACTTTATGTGCCTCTCCACCTACTCCTTTGAGAATATCTAATAGAGTATATACCTGGTAAGAGAATATTAAGTATCTGCTGTATACAAGGTACTGGGGTCCTGGTAATACAGTGATTAGCAAGAGAAACAGTCCTTACCTGGTAGGACTTATAGCCTTGTAGAAGAAATGTTACCTAATTATGTAAATACAATAGTATTAAATGCTACAAAGGAAAAAATCCAGACTTCTAGGAGAGGGTGGATGGGTTGGTGAATTGATCCAAAGCGATAGCAAGAGGCCCAAACGTCAGTAGGGAGTTTAAAGAAGGCCTCCCTAAAGAGATGATATTTAAGCTGGCTCTGAAGGATGAATGAGTGTGGCAGAAGAAAAACGATGGTAAAACTGAGGCACAGAGACCACCTAAGGTAAGAAGTCCTGTTCAAGGAGTTGAAAAAGACCACTAACTAGTTCTGGTTGGTCATAAGGAAAGAGAGGCCAGATCATGAAGGGTTTTTGCAAGGTCTGTGAAAAAGCTTGGCCTAACCAACTTCACCAAAGATCACAGTGTATGAGATATTATTTCCACTAGAGAGGACTGATGTATACATGTGAGTAGCTAGCTGCTCATTTTATTGTATTCTAGCAATGAGCCTCTAGTGAGGTTGTGAGGGCCTCTCGGGTGTTTTTGTTTTTTTCAAGAGTTGCTCTGAAGATGTCTAGCACTGTCTAAAGTACTTTTTTTATTGTAGTAAAAAGATTTACCATCTTAACCATTTAACCATTGTTTCTACCTCTCAGGAAAAGAAAGCACAGTGCACAGGCAAGAGTATGTATAGCTGCTACAATTTTCTTTCCCTGCAACTTTAGATATATTGGCAATAACTTCCCTGTGAATAATTCTTGAACTAGAAAGAATCCCACTACATGTTTAGATAAATGATATTTTCAAAAGATACATAATCCAGATGGTATGGCCAGGCCTATATTACAGTCAAAAAATAAAAACTATTGAATTGCATAAACGAAGCTGCAAAACTATTATTCTGCAATTTGGCTCAAATAAACTTATAAAAATTCTCTACAAATAAAAAAACCTATTAAAATTGGGTGATTTGTATCTGATAGATGTGAATTCCAGCAGAAAGCTGAGAATCCATTTAGAACTCTTTCCTTGAGCACCTGCCATGTGCCTGACATACTAGTAGTAGAAAACACAGCTGAATAGACTTAGTCTGTAAAATTGTGTGAATGTGTGTGAGCGTGTTGTAAAATATTGACAAGAGCTCAGGGATTTCCTCTGGAAAGTGCAGACACGCTGTCGGCCAGTGTATCTGAGCCTGGTGGGTGGGTGACTACCCCAGGATGCCGGGCTGAGAAACAGGCTTGCACCCAGTGCAGAACATCCCAGTGATGTTCAGATTTATGTCCTCTCCAACTTTTGAAGAAGGCCTGCATTACAGGAGCTTAGGAGAATTAATGTGTTATTTTAAAAAGAGTAACTATAATAGACACCAGCAGCCAACCTGAGTCAGAAACAGACTTGGTGGTTGGTTCACCAAGAGCCTGCGCGGAGCCTTAGCACTGTCTCTCAGGAAGCTTGCAGACCACCCCGCAGATTAGTGTGCCACTGCTCCATGCTGAAAGTCAGAAACTAACACTAAAACGTATTTACGTAACTGTACCCTAAAACCAACTGATAAAGTAAACGTGGTGTAACTCAAACCAGCCTGTAGAGCAGATGAAAAGTAGAAGATACGAGGGGAGAGTTGACTCTTGATGCCATGAAAGCAACACATCTCAGGACACCAGTGACCAAGGCTAACTGCCATCAGAATTTTAACTGTAGGGTAGGCTAGCCAGATTGTTTAATTGGAGTTCTCTTGCCAAGACCAAAACTATTTGTTTTTCCTCTAATGTTTGGTATTTTGTGTGCATGGAGGATTTTTCCCTTGATTTCAATGGCATAATAAAAAGAAACTGGGCTCTAGCTGATTTGGCTCAGTGGATAGACCGTCGGCCTTCAGACGGAAGGGTCCTAGATTTGATTCCAGTCAAGAACACATGCCCGGGTTGCAGGCTCAATCCAAAATAGGGGGTGTGCAGGAGGCAGCTGATCAATAATTCCCTCTCATCATTGATATTCCTCTCTCCCTCTCCCTTTCTGAAATCAATCCTCCTATATAATAAAAGGCTAATATGCAAATTTTCCCCTTGGGAGTTCAGGAGACCTGGAGTTCGCTCGCTTGCTATGACATGCGCTGACCACCAGGGGGCGGTGTGGAACATGGTGGGTGACCAGCAGGGGCAGCAGGGTGCTGAGGGAGCAAGGGAAGGAGGAGGCAGGGAGGCAAGGAACCACACAGTGGCAGCACGTGGGCAGCGAGAGGAGGAGGCGGGGAGGTGGGGAACCTGATCGGCCCTTATCACTGGCCAGGCCTAGGGACCCTACCTGTGCACGAATTTCGTGCACTGGGCCTCTAGTAAAAATATATTTAAAAAAAAAAAAAGAAAGAAACTGGGCTTTGGATTTAAAAGTCATGAGTCTGTGACAAAGTTCTACCTACTGGCTATGTGGCCTTATGTCAATTGTCCTCTCTGAACCTCTTTCTGCCTCTGTAAAATCATGATGATAAAACTTCACATATATTTGTGACAAGACCTATGTAAATTGTAAAAGTCAAATATTTCTACATAGTTATTTGTATAACTAGAAAGAATTAATTATGTCTTAACCCCTAGAGTGCCGGGGAGCGTGATCGCACTCCTCCTGTCTTTCGCCAAAAGTGCCGGGAGCGCTATCACGCTCCTCCTGCAGTGTTAACATTATATGTTTTGTTTTATAATACAATCAGCAAACAATATATGTCAAAGATGTAAACAAATGTAGTAAAGATTTCCTTAAGTTTTTTAATATGTAACTTCATTTACTTGCGATTCATAATTTTTTTCCTAAACTGCTGTAAAATCAGCAAAAATGCCTTGGCAATTTTAGCATAGTTCCTAGGATATTGGTTGGCACTCAAAGGGTTAAGAGCAGATTTTTCCAAGGCAATGTTTACAAATATCTGCTAAAAATACAAAGTTCTCTACATTTACATGCAGCATGATAGGTTCAGGAAGAAGCAGGTGGGAGATGAATTTTATTATTTATGTAATCATGGGCTCCAGAAACTCATTTTTTAAAAAGCATCATGCACATGCACACAGAGACATACCTCAGAGATATTGCAAGCTCTGTTCCAGACCACAATATATGGCAATAAAGCAAGTCAATCTTTTTGTTGGTGAAGGATCTTGCTTAATTTGTAAAACACACATCTGTGACATGCAATAAGGCAACACACAATAAAATTAGGTGTTCCTCTATGTGTGTGTACAGAGACACACATACATATAATCTTGTTTATGAAGTATCTTCCATGAAAGTCAAAGTCAAAACTTAAAATTCTACTCTCTTAACCCTTTTTCTCTTTCCTCACACATTTCCCCCAGAGCTTCGAAGTGCCTACTTTTAAAGATTTAGAGGCAGGAACAAACTTCAAGAGTTATAGAAGGAAAGTTCTTTTAACCTGCCAACCCTGTCTTCATGGCCCTTTTATAAGTTCAATGAAAGCATTTTTTTAAAATTAAACAAAATCGGTAAAACATTCAAGAAGACTTAGATAAAACAGAAACAACCAGTAAAACCCTGGATATTGAGATAACTAGAAAACCAATAAAACTTTTATACTGAACTTAAAACAATGAAATGTTTTTAAAATGACATAAAGGCAGGAAAACAGAGGGGGGTCATGAAACTAATGGGAGGGTTGGCCAAAGAAACTATCCAAGTGCAATTTTCTAACTTAATTGAAGGCCTGGCAATATTATCCTATATAATAAAACCCTAATATGCAAATTGACTGAACAGCGAAATGACCGGTGGAACAACCAGTCGCTATGACATGCACTGACCACCAGGGGGCATATGCTCAATACAGGAGCTGCCCCTGGTCGGGGATTGGGCCTAAACCGGCAGTTGGATATCCCCCAAGGGTGAAGGCCGGGCTGAAGGACCCCCCGCCCCTGTGCACGAATTTCGTGCACTAGGCCTCTAGTAAGTTCATATTAAAGTAGAAATGAGTTAAACCAATGTAGATGCTTCTTTCTTTCTTTCTTTCTTTCTTTCTTTCTTTCTTTCTTTCTTTCTTCCTATTAATTTTAGGGAGAGCAGAGAAAGAGAGAGAAACATCCATTTGTTGTTTCACTTATTTAAGCATTCATTGGTTGATTCCTGTATGCAACATTGGTGTGTTGGGATAATATTCTAATCAACTGAGCTACCAAGCCAGGGCCCAACCAATGTAACTTAGATTCTAAGACCATCCTCATTCTACATAAGGAAACATTTTCTGAGACAGAAGATAGATTCATTTATGCAGAACTTTCTGCGTCTATTGCAGAAAATATGAACTCTTCCTTACTAACAGTCTAAATTGGTGCTCGATATGGAATATCTTCCCAAAAGAGCCACAAAACTACTAATTGAACCATTGGATTTTAAATGAAAACAGCATTCCAAACAGAAATTGAAAGCCTCAGATAGAACACAAGTTGAATCTAAAAGTCTGAGTATA